TTTACTATTCCTGTTGCAGGACCCCCAAAGGTACAAAGGAAAACAAGACATGAAGTACAAGGAACTCATTGAAGTCAGAGACCTGACTATCAGAATGAGAAATACAAAATTAAGGGAAACTGGGCCAAACTTCTTAACATTAAGTTGTCACCAGGGGGACATTTTAACTTGGAAAATATGTTTATATTAATACCAAAAATATTGTCCATATCAATTTCTTTACACACTTTTGTTTGACACTGATGTCATAACAAGTGATAGTGACATTTTGGTGAATTATTCTTCCAATAATTGGAAGGAAATCACATTCTTCACTTCTGAACAAAATCATGTAGAGCCAAAACAGAGTTTCGTTTGTTGCCCTAGGAAGGATTACCTAGTCCAGTGACCCCAAAATGTGGCATGGATTGTAGTAGGAAGTCAGGAATACAGAACCTCTTATTTATTGTGAGGCCTGCATCACTCAGATACCCATTCTTGTGACTCCCATGAAAAAGTAATGCTGATATGAAATAACAGTCTAGAACTCCATATACATCTCAAAGAATTTTCACTAACAGTAAGGGAAAATATTCATCTTTTCTCCAAGGAAGTACATATACCTTGCCATTTTCTTTCCTTCATACCTGTCCCCAAAATGTTTAAGAACCCACTGGTTAGTCTGAATATGTAAGCAATCCCCTCAGAGTTAACATCATAATATTCCCCATACCCTGAAGTCAGGAATCCAGCTCCTTTACTTCACGCAGTTAGAAATCAACTTGACCTTTATAAATCCCTTGTCTCGGGGGTACACCTTTGACAGTGTACTGCTTTTGGTAAGCAAATACAGGAATACTGTGCATTTTACTGACCTAGATATTTTAGTCTCACATTCTGAGATTTAATTGTTATGTATGAAGGAACAAAATATTAAGAGGAGAAAAAGTAATTAGTCTGATGCTGAACTTTATGGTTACCTGTTTTTTTCCTTCATTATATGTGTCATGTAAATATATATAGAGATATTCTTTGCATAACCTTATCCTCCCTTAGATTCTTTTGCTTAAATCACTAATATTAAGCCTAGAGTTCCTGATAATAAGGTGCTAACTGTCCTGTTCCACACTGAAGAGTAGGACAAATGGAAAACATTCATTTCCCTTTCAGGGTGACCCTTCTGGCCAACTATGGAAGTGATTTCGTAAGAAATGAGATACATGAGGAAGTGTTTTCCAAAACGTCTTTATTTAATACCATTATTCTAGGGGGTGAAGGCACAGAAATAACCAGATTATATCACCAGCAATGGAAGACTGGGGTAGAATACATATCATGACCACCTATGACAACTTTCTCTATAGTTTTGGTCTAAATTGTTAACATTTGTTGTTCTTGTTTGCTCAACAAATGAACCCCCATCCTTTGGGGGAGGTGGGAATCCATCATTGGATGAGTCTGAGTGGAAGACAGGGCCCCACCTTACACCATAGAAGCTTAAAATGTCAGGTATCCCTTCTTCCCACCCTGTGATGTGAGCACATCACCTCAGCTTCATCATTAGATGCTCCTGTCTGGGACTGAGAATTAGGAGCAAATGTGTAAAGAAGTAGCACCTGCTTAGAATTCATCCCACCAATAGCAGCACCATCCTGAATCCAGTATCAGCAGCTTTGCATCCACTCCAGAAGTAGCAGAAGTGGCAAACATTCCAGAACACCGATCCTGGTTCCAGCATCCTAGCTCCCCTAACCATCTTAGCACCTGTTCCTCTAGCCTTCCCTATAATTCTGTCAGCTTCCCAAAGGCTTCCAATAAATTCCTTTTCAGCCTAAATTTGCCGGAATATGTTTCATTATTACTACTCACAATCAAGAATGTTGGCTTCTGTAAGTGTTTCACACTGCTTTCTCTGTGGTCTTTTTATCCATAATCTCAGAAACTATCATGTTAATATATTATCTTTTTAAATCATTGAAAAGATGTCACTTTTGAATAATGTCTTCAGGAGGAGCAAGTGCTCCCCATACTCACCCTCAACTACTACTCAGGTACAAAGCTATTGCCGGATTTGGGTTTCTACAAATCCTAAAAGAGGTCTGAACTGAGAGAATGTAAAAGAGGCACTGAGCTGAGAGTCCATGATCTTTGGTACTAACCCCAGATCTACCACTATTTCCAAAATTTTGTCATCATCTTATTTTTTGCTTCCACCTATATATTCAGCACAGTCTTTACTTTTCAGAAGGTCATTGGTGGTGATTGCATAGCATAGATTTCCGGGGGTCTTCAGTTGATTGTGAAGAACAGTCTGATTACACTGGCATTGCCGTGGTGTTAGGAGGCATAAAGAGAGTTGGCTGCAACTCTGTTTTATTTTTCTTTTCATCCTCAGTGCCTAGCATAGTGCCCAGTCCATAGTAGGTGCTCAAAAAATGTCTTTGAATTGCGCTCAACCCAAAAAGTGGTCAATAAAGGAAAAAGGTTAAGACTCATGCTGTTAAGAAGGAAAGTACGCTCAAGTCCCGATCCCAATAAATCATGCTAGAGGAGCTAGAAAAGGGCATTGGTCTCCCCTAGAATCTCTCTCTTTTCTACTGGCTGAATTTCAGTTGTCCATACATTGCCCTTTGTCATTAGGACCTTAGAAGTTAGCATACAGATAAGAGGTCAGATACATAGTTTGAGCCCCAAGCATATTTGAGTCCTCCATGCAGGAAGTACAAATCAGGAGGCGAACTTGAAAAACCAATTTATTATGTTTCATGCTTGCTGACTACCCCAGGAGCATCCCTATTAGGTGAGAAAAATATGCAAACCTCCAACCCCAGTCTAGATGATAGAATTATATAAATTGCCCCCTTATCCTGTGGCAGCTGCAGATGACACTTCCACTTATTTCCTCCTGAACCAGGCCTTTACTCCAGCTCTAAATAACTCAGCCTTTGTTTATTTTTAATTTTTTCTTCATGACTACCTCATTATTTCACTAAGAGAGAGATTTCTTTGGCAATGCTGGAAACATGTTTGTATAAAGTTTCAACTCATGAACTTTCACCTCCTTAGGTTACCAGTCATGGTCAGTGGACTAATGTCTATCATTGGGGACCAAGGGCTCTGTGACGTGGCTTGTAAACCGCGTCTTCTGGCTCTCGTATGCCTGAGTGTTTTCTAAGAGGAGGAATGTTGGCGTTATGGAATGGGGCACTTGACACCTTGTAGAGTGGATGAAGGTGCTCTGAGGAATTTGACTTTTATTCTGATTAACCTATTTGCTTCCCATATTCAGAAGGGCTTATAGCCCAGCAAGGAAGGAATGGTGTAAGACATCCTAAATTCCCTTTTTCTTTCTCTTCCTAACCTTCAACGTTACCACCATTTAATTTCTACTTGTATGTTCAGTACAGAATCCATCCTGGTCCCGAACACGGTAGGAGACACTCTTAGATACTCTTCCTGTTCTGACCTCGCTATCCATCCAGGGTTTCCTGCCTTATTCTCTGGCTACCCAGCCTCTTCAGGTAATAGATGTCCTGGCACTGAACCCCGGCCTCCTGATGACTTGATTTCTCAGTACCTGCCACCTTCAGAGTCGGTATCGTGTAGGATTAAGAGCCCAAATTCTAAAGTCAAACCAAGTTCAAATTCCATTTCTGCCATGTCCTGGCTGTGGGACTCTGAGCAAGTTATCTAAGCCAAGTTTCCTCATTAGCTAAAAAAAAAAAAATTGTAAATGGAGATAATAACAATACACACATCATGGGTTATTGAGAAAATTCATGAAGATCGGGCATGACAAATGCTAAGCTCATAGTCACCATTCAATCAATGTGAACTTAGAAACAGCTAGTTTGGGGCTCAGCTGTGACTAATGGAAGCCTAGTTTTTTGGTACTAGTATCCATTCCCCAATCCAATCTCCTAAACTCTTTGTCTCCTAACCTGTTATCTCTATGGCTCTTTTTTTAATTTTTTTTTATTTTGTGTGTGTGTGCGAGGAAGATCAGCCCTGAGCTAACATCCATGCCAATCCTCCTCTTTGTGCTGAGGAAGACTGGCCCTGACATCCACGCCCATCTTCCTCTACTTATGTGGGACGCCGCCACAGCATGGCCTGACAAGCAGTGTGTCGATGCACGCCCGGGATCCAAACCCGGGCTGCCAGCAGCAGGGCACGCAAACTTAACCACTACGCCACGGGGCCGGGCCCTCTATGGCTCTTTTATATGTATGATTTGTTGAAAGCTAAATTTAATCCTTTTAGGAAGGAGGCTAGAAGGGAAATAAATAAAAAATAAAATAGTG